CGTTGGGGGATTCGTGGAGAGGCTCCGGTTTCTCCGTCCGCGGTAAATAGAAATTATAACATATTCGCGTTGGGTAACTATGAATTATGGACGCTGTTCGCAATTCAATTACACCGCCCAAGTTTGTAGCGAATTTCGGCAGGGCAAACATGGCCCCAGCTAAATTGGCGTAATGTAATTTATGCTCAAGGTTTTTACTCGCGCGTGCTTTTGTATAAATTTAACCCGCCGGGTAATTTCATTCACAAAAATAAATAAATAAAAAAAAAGTTGTATCTTAAAGATTACTTACAAAATCATAACTTAACCGGCTCCTCCACCAAAACTTTTTTAACAAACTCAACTTGTTTTAAGATTGATATTGAGAATTACTTTGTTAATTGGTGTTTAAAAAGTGATCAATAATTCTCCATGGTAAAATAGTTGGCAATTAGCTTCTTATAGCATTTCTTGTAGGCAATTACCTCGTGAACACCAAGAACTGGTAAATATGTAAATAGGGCGCGAATCTATGCATATCTGATCGCGGGAACGCCATTACGTGCGCTTTCTCTCTCTCTCTCCCTTGTAACCACTAATCTGCATATTTTAATGCGACGTTCCATTAGGAGTTTCCTCGAGTAGTATCCTTTGCCGGTTTGATTGACGTGCGAAATGTTCACGTTGTGGTTAGGAAAAGGAAACCAGAAATCCGCATAAGAAAATTTTATATTTTAATATGTCGATGTCGTCAAAGTGGTAATACGGGGGATTTACATATCACTTACCTTGTCGAATTTATGCACTTTCGTGTATCGATACGTTCCCCGGATACCACCAATGAATAATGCAATAGTATTGGCATCGCGACCACCAGTTGTATGTATTCTTGTATATTTTAGTTTTTAGTTGAGTGAAGTGAATTTTAGAATTGAAACCTTGGGATCATATTCCTCGATTTGTATGAGTCTCATTAATGATATCACCTCAACTGGAAAAGTTTGGTGAGGTACGTGATCTTAAAACTCCGACGTACGAGATGTCGTTTCTACGTTTACACTGATTCCCACAGGAGTCGATAGGCAAACGCGCGGAATTTGAGTTTTCCGGACGAAGTCGAGAACTTTTCGCGCCCGTGGGACCCCCAAAGTCCCGGACATATTTCCGCACCGGAACTATTCGAAATCGGCCAAGTTTTTCCCCGGTACCGAGACACGATTATTTCGAGAAGTTCTCGTTGTATAAATATTACCCAACCCACCCCATTCTGTTACCGTAGCTTTCGCTTTGCGTATTCTTTTGTGCCCAACCCGGAGGCGTGTGATCCCGGAATTACCAACACCGACCTAAAAAGCTCGGTTGCGTCGAAAGCCTATGAGGCAATCTGCTCGCTAAGATTGATAACACCGATAAGGCGCTTGGTGTCATTCTTTCCCTGAGTAAAGAGACCACCGAGAACTATTCAGGGGTTTCATTTAGGCGAGGGCTAAGAGACAAAGATTATCTGGAGACGGTTCCGGAGACATAAAACGTCGTCCTTTTCCTTAGATAACAGAGGACGTTTTTGGGTAGGTTCTTTTTCTTTTCGCATCTGTGTAAAAACAAAAAGAAACTCTGCACCACCACCAAAAATTTTTATTTTAATTTTTTTAAATTTACTAATAGCGAAATTTTATTCAGCGTAAATAAGTAAGTAATCCCCTTTCCTTCGATGCACAGGGCTTCCTTTTCACATTTTATGGAAGGCGGAGAGAGGCGTCCAGACGCCATTATCTACCAATTAGCACCCGGGCAAAGAGCAAAGAGGCGTCACTGCCGCCTAATTAATTAATATACGCCTGAGTAATTACCCCCTTTCACCTAAAGCAAGCTTTCGTTTCCGACGATTACTTCTCCTATTTCTTGAGAAAGATAAGAGTAACTTTGCCGTCACTCTTTCAGACGACATAAAAACGGAAGAAAAAGACCAACATAATTTTCCTTCACTAGATTGATCCAACCCAGCAAATAACAAATTACCAGATACGCGATCGCTACTCCGCTTCAGACTTACACAATTTGGCAGATCGCCTTTTGGCACGTCTGTTAGGGTAGTTTTCACCCTTCTCTATGAAACATGCCACCCGATCGGGCTGAAGAAGAGAACCGCGACGGATACGAAATTAATTAGCCTCCGAATTTGGCGCTGTAAAGGGAAGTAAATTAGGCTCTTTTTCCACCATCAACCTTCCCCCGCGCTTCGGGGGTGACTAATGAGGGCGGCGGGACGCTACCGGTATAAAGGGCGAACTTATTAATACCCATCTCTATGATTTAATGGGGTAGAGAAAGCGAGACTCGGAAAGGTTGCTTCATATAAACCATTTACAAGCTTGTGTTAATAAGATTTAAACCGATAGTTTTGAACTAAATTCAACTTTTAATACGACTAAAGCGGCTTTAATTTGATTGATTGATACAATATAATTATATAATAAATTACGATTACATTTATTTGCGAGTATGACCTGATTTCTCGGTCAACTAAAAATTTTTCGAGAAATCCAAGTAAAGATTACGCCCATAAAGCAATTTCGCCCATTGTTGGCTGAACCACAATGGAGCAAGAATTACAGGCGAGGTTAATGCGTTGAAATAGTGGCGGGCTTTCAATTTTTCCGCCGACGTTGAATTATTGATGGCAGAGTCGCCTAATGGGCGAAGAATGGACCGGCTTCCACGGAACGGGGATCGTCAAACATTAATAAGCCGGTGCCGTTGCAATCGAAAGGTTGCATCTTTCGTCCGGATCGTTGAGATCCGGTCCTGGACCTTCGCGTCCCAAGATTCAGTCTGAATTATTTATTACCCGGCATAAAATAAACACACACCGCGTAGCCGGCGCATGAAATATTAATACAATCTCTTTACGCGTGTACCCGGAACGCAGAGCAACCACGTGGGCGTAAAAAGAACATTTTTGAATTGCATAGAGAGAGTCTCAGGTTCACCATCGCGTTTTACTTACGATGTTACGACGGAAACTCATTTCTGTCGTCGTACTATGTGGCAGTTTTGAAGTGCCATTAGACGACTAATGCATGCAAGTAGTGGGCTGTAATGGATGCAAGAGCGTTTAGTTTGGGAGTCATTAAGGAGGCGAACTTCAAAGGATAGATAGGGTGATTAATTTACGACTTGACACTGAGAATCATTGAAGAGCAGTGTTTATGGGTATGGATACAATAAATTTCGTTTAATAGCAAATTTGCTTAGTCTGTTTGAACAATGCGAATTAATTAACAAACATTATAAAAGTTATTAGCCAATTTAATACAAGCAATGAAATTATATTACGATGATGAGATTAAAGCTCATTAAATAATTATGTGTTATATTTTTGCGATAGATTTAATCGAGTTTTAATTTATTTCTTTTTATCATTACAATTTCGCTTTATTAGAATTTACACATATTTTCCCCATCATCTATGACGTCATCCTATCGTCACCCCTATCATTTATAGTTATCAATGGCAATTTTGATATACCTCAACGTAGTCTATGAGATTTTGATATTCCCTAAGATTGTTTTTGATATCCTCAAATATTATTCCTGGCTTTCCATCATCTATGATATCAAAATCTTTTTCAAAATTTCTGTCATATCTCAACACTGCCCAGGACTCCCTCAATATCTGGCTTATTATGTACCCACATCGGCCCTGATATCTTCTATGATGATATATATCTTCTCTAATATCTATCAATACTGTAGTGACCACTCAACATCTTCCCCATCATCTAGCAACGTTACCTATAGTAACCCTCAAAGCTGTCCCTACTTTCTTTAAACATCGTCTCTGGACTTCCTCAAATATAGTCATAACTCTTCTGTAACATTTCTATGGCATCAAAATTATTCCTGGCATCTTGCCCTTCAACATTGTCCCCACCGACGTTGTCATTGATATCCCCCAATATCAGCGCTGGCTTTCCTCACCACAACTTGATGATATGAACTCTGACATCTTCCAACATCAATATCTAGCAAAACTATGCTGACCACCTTATGTTCCCTACCTTATAGTAACGTTATCCATAAAATCCTTCAAAGTACTTCCTAATATCCTCAAATATATTCAGCATGTCTTCTTCATGACAGTCTATGGAATTAAAATTGTTCCTGACATCTTTTAACATCTTCCCCTTCAAATATTATTCTTCAATGAAGCCGCCTTTATCACCATTTCTGACACCTTCCAACATAATCCTCAATATCTACCAACATGATATCTCACAAGATCTTCCTTTCTATTTTCAGAATTGCATTTGTTGTTTTCAAAATTGAACTCAATGACTTTTGTGATATTAACCTATGTCTAATATACGAGATAATATTTTATCGATGATTTTTTTTAGTTGTATAGTATTCGAAACGCAAATGAATATTGGAAAGAAAAGATGTTGAAATATTTATCGACTACGAAGGGTTAGTACCCTTTTTAAAAGATCTTTGCAGAAGGAACTCGCGGAATCTTAAAGATTATCCGGGGCCAGCCTTGAGGAATTTGCAATTTAAAAAGCCCGCTTCTCCCGCACCGGAAAGTTTTAAAGTAACTTTAATTAGCATTTTCTGTGCCCGAGAACTATTCGGCCGTAATATAAATTTAAGTTGCCCAACCCCATCTTAATGGAGAGACCGAATTCGGACAATTAGAACCGGTAATAGTATACCATATTTTATAACAGCATAAACTCTCTGCGTACGTCGTAACTCAAGTCCATTAATTGACAATGCATGCAGGTAGCGGAATGCGAATTTTTCTCCAACTCTATATCTATAAGTTATTACCAACGTCTTACATGGAACAAATTATGCAAAGGCACACGCTCACGCGACGTTTTAATCCGAGAAGAAAAAGCCCCGAGGGGCTGCAGCGGTTAAATTACGTTTTATGATTTTGATATACGTACGTACCAATCAAAATGTCTTACAAACTCACTCATTTTCTATGTGTATAGAAATTCCGCATGAAATTATGCAGAACTCGTTCAATCAAATCGTAAAAATTCATTCGGAATTTTATCACTAAACAATTTATGTCAACGAATTAATAAATCAATCAGTCAATACTTCATAACCTTGAATGGTTTAAAATTGAAAGAAAAATTTTCTGTGGATAAATTTGATTTGGTTTTGTATAAAAAAAATGGAACTTGAGAATAGTGAGGAACCACCAGATCGTTTTAAAATGGTTACAATAATTTGTCTTTTACAAGGAGTTGGGGTTTTGATTTCTTGGCATATGTTTATAAATGCTTGGGATGTGAGTTTCTTTTAAAAGCACAAAAAACCTAAAACTACAATTTATTACCAGTATTTTACAGATTATAAATTGTGCCACATTAACGGAACCGATAAGGTTCCAAGTCCTTATGTAGGTTATTTCATGCAATATTTAACATTTACTGCTCAACTTCCCAACGTAATATTTACTTTTATAAACGCTTTCGTTCGAATTGGGTAAGACCAAATTATTTCATTGTAATGAATTAAAACTAAATTATTTTTATTTAGGGGTGGTTTATCATTTCGAATTTTGGGTTCATTATCGATCGTGCTAGCCGTGTTCATTTTCACGTTAACCTTGTCTTTCATCGAAATGGAAAATGTGGGCGCATTTTTCTGGATGACAATGTGCTCGGTCGCTTTAATGCAAGTTTTCAACGCGATTTATCAAAATTCGTTGATGGGAATGGCCGCTATTTTACCTCCGTGGTACATTGGATATATAATTATAGGAAACAACGTTTGCGGAACGTTCACTTCGATAACAAAACTCGTATCGAAATCAATCGGTGGAAATCATAAAGCTACCGCTATTTACTACTTTAGCACGGCTATTTTCGTTTTAGTGGTTTGCTTGGTTGTTTTAATACTCCTAAAATTAATCGTAATGGATTTCTTTTAGATATTATTTATATATTTATTATTATTTTTAATTTATTCAATTTTATTTTAGAGATTTTACAAATATTATTTGGATGTTCATACGGCTTATAGACATAGATCAACTTTTTTTTCTGCTCATGAACCTGCTCAAGAAAGGCCTTATTGGCTACTTATTAAACAAACTTCTACACAACTTTATAATGTATTCATGACATTTATGGTAACATTAACTTGTTTTCCTGCAATATTATCAAGTAAGTTGAAAACCACATTATTGCGATTTTTAATAAAAATGAAATTAATAAGTTGTTTTAAGTTGTTTTAAGTTGTTTTTTTTTAAGAAATTGTTTTCGATGCGTAACGACTACCTGTCGTTAGTAGACTGCGTGTCAATAGACTCTGTGTTAATACAAGAACTAACGCAAGACCTAGAACTAGAAACATTCGGGATTAGCCGCACGTCTCTAAAAACGGCTAAACCCGAATGATTCTAGTTCTAGGTCTTGTGTTAATTCTAATGATAAAGTAATATTGCTTGTAAAAGACCAAATACTGCCGCCAGAAAACGAAAAACTGCTTGTGGAAGACAAATACTACCTCTACAATACTAAAAAATGCTTGCAGAAGATAGACATTGTCTATAAAAGGCTAGGTACTGCTACCAACAGACTAGAAATTGGTTGCAGAATACTAATATTACTTGTAGAAGACTAAATACTGCCGACAGAACACTAAAAACTCCTTGCGGAAGACAAATACTACCTCTATAATACTAAAAAATGCTTGCAGAAGATAGTCATTGTCTATAAAAGGCTAGGTACTGCTACCAATATACTAGAAATTGGTTGCAGAATACTAATATTGCTTGTAGAAGACTAAATACTGCCGACAGAATACTAAAAACTCTTTGCAGAAGACAAATACTACTCATACAATACTAAAAAATGCTTGCAGACGATAAATATTGTCTATAGAATATAGACAATCTAGAATCTAGCTTTCTTCAAGCAATTAGTAGTCTTTCCAACAATATTTAGCATTCTGAAAGTAGTTAAGTCTTTTAAAAATAGTATCTTGCCTTTCCAAGCAGATAATAGTTTTTCCCAGCAGTATTTAGTCTTCTCCAAGCAGATCGTAATCTTTTCCACCAGTATCTAGCTTTCTGGCAGCATTAGGAAGCTTTTTGGGAAGCATATTAGTAATAAATTACTAAAAGCTAAAAAAAGTTGCAGAAACAAAAAAAATTGATTTATTTGATTAAAAAATATTTTTATTTAATACATTTATTTTTTTATTAGATATAAAAAGTGGCGATGACAACTTTTTTATTTCAACAAATTATTACGGGGACGTGATGTGTTTTTTAAATTTTAATGTATCCGCTATGATTGGCTCAATTGTTGGTGGATTTTATGTTTTTGTAAGTAATTTTCTATGAATAATAAATAAATAAATTTTGTGACAAAAATTTTTAGCCGAAACCCCGGTTTATATGGATAGCTGTAACAATAAGGATTATTTTCATCCCAATTTTTCTTTTTTGCAACTACACCCCTCCCGTTCCCGACGAAGCCCGAAGAGTGGGAGTTTTAATCTACAACGATTATGTTTATTTAATTTTCGGAATGGTTCATGGATTTACTTGTGGATATTATACGAGTGCTTGTTTGATGATAATTCCAGGGTAATTTTTTGGTACATTAATAATTTTAGCTAATTTTTGTATTATTTAGGATGGTTGATAAACAATATGCGCATATAGCTGGGATGTTAGGAGGAGTGGTTTTAATTTTGGGAATTTTTTTCGGGATAATGTTAGCGTTTCTTTGGCCGTTAATTATGTGGGAAAGCGTTTAAGAAAAATTAAACCTTAATAAATCTCGTGTCGTAGTTAATTATTTCTAAAGAAAAGGTGATCCTTAAATCTACACTATATAGATGGGGGTTTTCTCCGTGTACGAGTTATTAAAACTTCCGGGTTGGTCCGGAAAAATCATAACTCGCTAGATTTTTACGACGTGTTAGTTCGCTCGCGTTCCTCGACCTCACCCTCTTTTCGTTCCCTCATCGTAAATAATAAACTTAAGTATCGGAGTCTGCGCGTGCGAACCTGAAACTGTCGGAAACTGTCGTAAATTCTCACCGGGATAAACCGCGTGGAGAAAACTTTCGCACCTCGATAGTTATATCGAAGCCAACTTTTTCCGTATTCGAGAAACGTGTGCCAACTTTGGAAGCCGTTTTCTGATTGGCCAATGCACCTGAATACTTGATAGACTGTGCAAAGAGGTATTTGGTACAAAAACTTTGTCGCAGAATTTAATTTAAAAGCAAATTTATGTCTCAATCGGTTATCGCTTGTATTTCATTCTGTGTTCTGAAGAACCTGGAAAATTATCTCCCGCAACGCGTCATGCACCAGTCGAGCTGAGTTACGTTTTCCAGAATCCGTTTAAACGGCTCCGTGCCGGATTAAGCGATGCCATAAATTTTCCAAGCTCTAATTCGGTAGAATTTACGGTTGTCATAAAGCCTTAACGTCCAGGCGACATCGCGCCAGGTGAAATTTGCATTATTAACTCTGTATCTTCAAGGTCGCCTGCACTTCGAAATTTTCATATTTAATTATTTAATATTAAATGGAAGCTGCGGGGAAAATCGGAAATATCCTCAATAAAATCGTACACGAAATCGTTGCCCTAATTGAAGTTAATTCTTAATGCTCGACGAAGATTTCAAAGTGCTCGAATTTAAAAGCCGTCAGCGTCCCTTTTTCCATTTTCTCTTTTCGAGTCCCGCGACTCGATTGTCTCTCTACGCGAAAACCTTTTAAATTCCGATAAAATCCACCGTAAGCCCTTTTAAGAGGGAAATTGACGGGGGAGAAGAAAGACAACAGAAGTTTACTGATGGTAATAAATATTCAAATCAAGCGGTTTATTCAAACACTTCAACTTTTTGTATAAATAAAATAAATCTTTCAAATATCCAATAAGTTATAAGCGAAAATCTTTCATTTCAAAAAGCCAATAATAATCAAAACCTTTATAGTTAATCGAATAGGAACGAAGTTAATAAAATTGAAATGATTAAAGCTATTAAAATTCTTGTTGTGTGTCTAATCAAAACAGCCCAGGTAAAATAACTTCCGTATTGGGATTGAATGATAAATATAGAAGTATTATTTAAGTACAGTAAAATCTCCAGTAGTAGTAAGGTCAAGTCTTGGGTGTTTAGTACGACCCGGAAACCAAGCGCTCCAACCTCTCCAAGGCCCAAAAAAGCAAGAATGAGCAAGTCGAAGATCAACAGTTCGTGGCAAAAACTTTGAAAAAGTATCATTCGTGTGAAATCAAACATCAAGAACAACTGGGTGGTTCAAACGAGTTTTTGACTAGTAAAAATATTCCTATGGTTCCTTATTCGCCTAACTTGAGTCCTAGTGACTTTTTCCTCTTCTCGAGATTGAAAAATCGCCTCAAGGGAACCAGCTGAAGGCTATTCCAGTATCGGAGTTCCAGCACTGAAGACAATATTGAATTGCAATTCTATTCAAATAAAAAATTGAAAAAAATTACTTAATTTACACACCTCGTATATGATTCGTTTTATTAATCAAGTAAAATAGTTTAGAGATTGTTAATGTAGAAACCTTATGTAGTAAACCAATAATAATTTTCTTTTGAAACAAACTCTCTTCCTCGTCGTGAACAATTCAAATTAATCCAGCTAAACACACTAGCAAACACAAGATAATTAAGACGGGAACTGCACGCCTTTGAGATTCTGTACTGTGCCGCCCCCTTTCGCTTGTCTTCAGTTCGTCAGGATCGTTATTTGGCGCCGTACGTCCGCTACAGCTTTGAACTTGAAGCAAAACTGGTACCTAACAACTTTGAGGAAATATACGTTCAAATATCTAAGCAGTGTACCAAAGTTGTGTTGTTCGCCCGGTCTTTTCATTTATGACCTCTTATCAAAGCAATTTCCTTCACTTCAAACTGGTAGGGGTTACCAGTTCTTTATATATTTGTGCGAATAGGGGCGGCGTCTCTGCAACAATGAATTTGTTGTTAAATAAGCCGCGGATCGAGAGTCCTCTATTGGTCGTTTCGGACAATACGGCACCCCTTTATGGCCCGTCGGGTCTTTTCTTTGGCCCTGCCTCTTTGTCCCGGTAGCATATGTGAAATTGGCCGCCATATTACTTCCCCCCTTTAACTACCCCACTAATAAACTATGTTCTTCCTTTTTATTTTCTTTTACGTTTCTAATCGTCTTTTCTTTACTTTCTATTGTTGAAAAGATATTAGTGATTTAATTCTTATAAGTGTTTGACGAAGATGGATCAGGATTAGGATGAAACAACCCTTTCAAGGACGGCGTGGTAGGACAACGCCCGAAACTTACTCCCCCAGAATATGAAACAATTACGGTTAAGATTAATACACCCTTCGGAAGCAATTTAGTCGCTAATATCGCAAAGCCACTTAGTTCTAAGTTTAAGGCGCCATCTCCGGTATTTAGTATGCCACGTCGACGGCGGTTACGGCGTCGCGACGCCGCGGGACGTCACATTTTCGCCCTCCTTACAAAGTTCGCGGAGCTGCTTGCGGCAATGAACGTTAAAAGAAACGACGGTGTGGTCTGAACCTTACCGAGAAGGTAAAGATTCAGACGGTATTTACATGTTTATCTTCTTGGGTTGAAGATATTGGTAGCTACGCGACGCGCGCTCGCGGAATTTCAAGAGCTGATAAAAAATGCACGCGGCGCCTTGGGGTTGGTACTAAAAGAGAATGATTAAAGACGCGGAATGGGGACGAATGAGAAAGACGCCGACAAAGCGCTGTTAGAACAGAAGAAGGAGGAGGATGCTGCGGACTCTGTCCCGGGTTAGAAATTCGCAATTAATCACGTCCTTTCCCGGGAAATTGTTAATCTAGAGTACAAGAGGTCTTATCTGTCTATTTCACAGGGGAGGGTCTTTTAAAATTGTGCGTGTTTACTGTGGCGATTAAGGAGTTTTAGAGGAAATGGAAGGGTGTTTCTTATTATTTTTTTTCTCGCCTTTCATTTTCTTGTACAATCCCAATTTGTCATTATTTTTTCAAAATAAATTACATAAAAAAACATTTAAGGATAAATAACATCCTTATTGCAGTTGAATGGCAAGTTATTATTAACAGATCAGAGGGGCGTGTGGAGAAGGCACTCGGTCTCTTCCAGTCAGTGGGATTTTCTGTGTCGTTTTCTTTCTAGGGGAGTGATACTGGTTGGTGGTAGTTGGGAGAAGAGCTACCGCGACGTCGGCCGCGATCGATTTTAGGGGAGGCGGATTTGGCTGGATCGAGAGAACCCGGAATACGCCCGCCACTGACGCCGTCTTCATTTATTATTGTAGCGGGGCGGCAGTTCTTGCGAACGCAGCGGAACGGGTTCAATCAATTCAATAACGTCCCGGAACCGCCTCTCCACCTCCTTTAACTTCTTCGACTTATTTGCATTTGCCGAAAAACGCCCCAGATCCGCTGACTTAAGAGTCCTGTTTACCTCTTCGATTACGCAGACTTTGATTAAATTGCCGTACCAGCAGCTATCAGCTTACGACCACAGTTTTAGACTTTTAGAAATAACTTTTTCATCATCAAAGGGGGCAAAAATGTCGATGGATTTATTTAGGGTTATATAGTCTATTAAGAGTTGATTTGAATAAACGGGGCGTTTGCACATTGAGCAAAAAGAACCCTGTGCCAATTAACAACGTACTCGTGTCCGAAAGGGGGCCATTTATCAAACCGTACCCACAAGGGAAAGGTGGCTCCCGCCGGATGTACTCCACAATTAGCCGTTGCAGTCTTAATTTTCCATGCATTGACCGCGTCTCGTCATCAGCAGGTGCTCCGTCCACTTTTGTATTGCGTCACAAATGCATCTCTCAACTACGTTGTTGCTCCATTAACTTTTTTCTAATAAAACTCCTGATTTTCTTCTTTATAACGACTATTATTTATACCGAGTAATTTATTACACGAAAAAAATAACCATAAGCAATATACTATTATAATAACTATTATCAATCATTCTTAATGGCAGAAAAATATTAACTTAAGGAATTTTTGCTTTTGGGTTGGGTTGGGTTGGGTTGGTAAAACTGATCGATGAGTCATAATTATATTAGATGTATTTTCATGTTAATTTCGAACACTTTTGGCTTTATAAATTTTATTTTTAAGTTTCCAAGTCTCCAAACTTTTGATATAATGATTTTTTAACTTATTGTATCTCATAATCTAATTGAGATATCGATGTAAGATAAAAAAGCATTTCAAAGCAAATTTAATTAATAATTAACACATTTAAGGTCACATTTCCAAATCTCCAAGCCTTGGAGTAATGATTTTTTTAATTCAACTTTGAATAAGCTCAGTTATATATGTTGCATTGAAAAACATCAATCTTTAAAACATTGTATCTCACAATCTAATTGAGATATTAACTTGAAATAAAAAACATTGCATATCAAATTTAATTAATACTGCAGTAATGTTTATAAAAAAATATTAATTGACTTCCCCGTCATTTTTTATGTCAGTATTAATAAAGTAGGTGTAGGTAAAAGTATACATAAGGGAAATGTGTGGATAGGTTGGAAAAAAAATTCTAGATGACGCTGATTGATCACCCATCGTACACTGCACTATTTACACTTGTCCGTCGATATTAGGACTCGCCGTTTTCGCATCTCCCCCTAGTTTTATTTTTTGCGCGCAGGGACGGTGTTTCCGAACCTGTTAGCTCACGTGCCGGTTTTAACGCGTCCCTAATTTGACAGCTGTCCGTTCGGGCGATAGCGACGAGGGAAATTGAACGCCACGTCTGTTTTCGTAGTACCTATCTACCTATAGTTTTGCGCAATAAAAATCTTGAGGAAGAGTCTCGTGCAAACGTCCCATTAAGTTTTCGAGAGGGACTTCATCGGCCGTAATCGCTGTTTAATCGTTGAAATGCGACTTGGTCACGCATAAATCGTTCGCAAAAATAGAAACGAAAAAAAAATTAACCGATAATGAATCATCTTGGAAAACGGATTGAAACACTTTCTTTTTGCTATAGTAATATTATACACGTCACGTGAGGTGAGCCCACATGAAGTTATTAACACGCGGACGGCGCGATACACGTCGCATTAGCATGTTCGTGACAGTTTTCCCGGTGAAAATTCCGCCCGTTAAAACGGCGCTAACGATGGTAATTAATCGAGATAGTGCCACGAATGGTGTAGATACTAGATTTTGGATAGGGTTATGACCATGTAAGC